GGCGTCGCTCTGGATGGCCGTTCTCTGGCGTGCCAGGCGTTGCGGACGGTGGCGCCGCCGAGCACATGCGCGAGGGGCCCCGTGCGTACCATGCTGGCCAGCGGCGGGACCTTGCAGGTCGAAATCTTTGCGCTCCTCAAGGCGGTGAGGGATGTCATCCCCGACGCGTGGGGAACGTGGCGGGATCGCTGCTCGGCGTGGCGGACTGGCAGACGCGGCAGGAAACCGCCAGCGTTTCTGTTCAGCGTGGCTCGGAAGAAAGCGACCTGCAAGGCGTCGCACTTCGTGGGCAAGGCGTCGGATTGCTTGGCCGTGCCCCCTTTGATTCGTCATTGGGTGCACACAGAGCTGCGCCCCAGCGGCGCGGCGAACGCTGCGGCGCGGTCGTTCGAGGCGATGGCGAAGTTGCTCGAATTGTACATGCAGGGCAAGAGGACATGCGGCCGCAGCTGAAACGCAAACGCCGGCCTGCGCGTTCGAGGATGCACCGCGTCGGCCCGCGCGCATCCTCGAGCGCTTAGGTGGCAGGCGGTTCGGCTACGTCCTGAGGGTCGGCGCCGTGCCGAATGTGATAGCTGTCTGGAACAAGGCCGTTTCGATTTCCTTGGCGCTGCGCAGAGCCGCGCACGGGCCAGCCCTGATCAAGCCGAAGCACCATTATTTGTGGCACGTCCCCGACCAGCCTGCGGAGGACGGCATCTGGTTGGACGCCTTCGTGCTCGAGCGGAAGCACAACCTGCTTCGGCCCAGGTCGCAGGAGATCGACAACCCTGCGAATTTCGAGCTGTCGGCCTTGACGGCGGTGCTCGCCTGCTTCCTGGAGGAAGCGAAGGAGGCGCCGCGCTCCCGCGCCAAAGCGTGGCGCACGCCAGAGCCGGACAGTACGTTCGGGCACTCGGGGCGCAACCTTGCATGCCCTTTTGCGGAGCAAGATGGGCTGGGAGAGGGGAAGGCGGTTTGCCGCCAAGGCGGCTTGCCGCCAGGGGGAGGAGGAGGAGGAGGAGGAGGAGGAGGAACCCCTCCGCAGGGCTGAAACGTGGGCCAGCAGAGAGGCGTCGATCGACGGCCAGATGCACGGCAGCCAGGACAGACGGCGCAACCAACCTTGGTATTTAGGGGTGCACATGCGTGTGCCCCCCCAAAAAATCGAGGCGTTGCTGCCCTCAGGATTTTCTCCTGGGCGACGGCGAGGCGTGCATCGTGCATTGCTGCGCGCAGGCTGGCGCCGCCAGCTACCTGCTGGTGGAGACCCTGGAATGGGTGCGCGCGCCATGCCCAGGCGCGTCCCTGTGGCGGCCGCGCGGCGACGTCGCCGTGATGCCCGCCGAGCTGATCCCGCCAGCCTGGGCGGCTAATCGGCGACTACAGGACGATGGCTACGTGCTCGCTATCGCGTGAAAAGGAAAATAAAAACGCGCGCATGCGAGAGCGGATATGCCGCTGGCGGATATGCCGCCCTTCGATGGAGAGGTGCATGGGGGAGGGGCGGATATGCCGCCGAAGATGGAAGGCGGGCTCGGGGAGGGAAGGCGGCAGGAGGGAGCGGGGGCGGGCTGGCCGCCGACAACGAGGAGAGGAGAGGGGGGGCGGTGATGGCCGCCGAGGGGAGGCAGTTTGAAGAATAGTTGATTCCCCCCCCCCCTCTCCCTCTTCCCCCCCCCCTCCGCGCCCCGCAGGCGTCCTGAGGGCGGCTCGGCGCGTCGACCTGCGGCGCCTTGTCCTGAAAAACTGCCGTGTTGTAGTTGTTAACGTTGTTTTTTGTTGTTTTCCCCGAAACATAACAATATCAAGAGCAAACATGAAAACGCAGAGAGTTATGCAAATTTCATGTTAGCCGAATCGGACAGCCCACATAGATTTAGCTGACTTAGCTACTAAGTTGGATATGTTGAGGGTTATGTATCGTTATATCTTGGCAGTGGTACCCGATAGCTCAGTTAATAAGATGGATGGTTCTGTGCGTAGTATGTATGGTATGTTGTTGAAGATACTTATCTAACAAAACGTTAAGTAGATGAATGCTAAGTTCGATAGTTTATGTATGTTGAATATGTGAGGTCAACTAGCGTGAACCTACATACATCTTCGTTGAAACGATTTCATGGGATATACAACGCTCTTACCGCACTTGCACCCACCCGACGGTCAAAGCGTGCTTCCGCTCGTTCCGAATCGTGTTCCCGCTGCAGTGCTGGCCTCATTTCCGCGCTTCCGCTCGTTTCGACTCGTGCCCCCGCTGCAGCGCCGGCGTCATTTCCCGTGCCATGCCACGGCATGCCATGCAATACGCTAAAAGCACGCGGCGGTGCTTTAGCGTTTTTAGCTCCGTTTGTGAAGGCTTCTTCAGGCCCGTCGCTGTGACGCATAGCTTGTTTAGTTTTTTTTCTTCCTGGTCAGAGGCTGTCTCTGCTGTCGTCGCCTCCGCTTTTTCGTTTTCTGCCGCCGTTGTCCCTCTAAGAGCTAAAGATGCCCAAAGAACGCTCCAACACCGCTCTAACACCGACCCAAAGCAGGCCCGGATGGCCCCAAGAGAGGCAATCGGCCATCGGGCCCGCCAGACTGCACGCCGGGATAAGGGCAGAACGACAGGAGGAGCCGAGGACGTCGTAGACAGCAATGCCAAACAATGCAACCAACTGATTTGAATGCGCGAAAAAACCGTAGCTGACGCACAAAGAGATGACTGGTTATTTTGATTGTTTTTAGTTCTCAGCCCTCCTTGGTTGGGTTCTCGTTTTGAACAGAGCACTGGTCGAGTTTCCGTCCTCTCCTCCTTCCTCCTCCGCCCTCCTGCCTCCTGCATACATCCTGCCTCCTGTCGGCGCCCTGCACGGCTGCGAAGTGCGCAGCTGTCGCCGCTTTCATAGGCTCCTGGGAGGTCGCGCGGAGTGGAGTGGTACGCGGACCTCGCGGCGCCCTGCGTGGCTGCGAATTGCGCACTTGTCACCGCTTGCGTGCGCTATTGGGAGGTCCAACGGAGTGGAGTGCTACGCGGGCCCAGTTGGCACTTCGCGGCGCCCTGCGTGGTTGCGAATTGCGCAACCGTCGCTGCTTTCGTGGGCTCCTGGGAGGTCCAGCGGGTTGGAGTGGTACGCGGACCCCGTTGGTACCTCGCGGCGCCCTGCGTGGCTGCGAAGCGCGCGTGTCACCGCTTGCGTGCGCTCCTGGGAGGTCCAGCGGAGTGGAGTGTTACGCGGGCCCAGTTGGTACCTCGCGGTGCCCTGCGTGGCTGCGAAATGCGCAAGCGTCGCTGCTTTCGTGGGCTCCTGGGAGGTCCAGCGGGTTGGAGTGGTACGCGGGACCAGTTGGGACCTCGCGGCGCCTTGCGTGGCTGCGAAGGGCGCAACTGTCGCCACTTTCCTGGGCTCGTAGGAGGTCGCGCGGAATAGAGTGGTACGCGGACCAAGTTGGGACTTCGCGGCGCCCTGGGGGTCTGCGAAGTGGCAACCGTGGCCATTTTCGTGGGCTCCTGGGAGGTCGCGCGGAGTGGAGTGGATACAGACCCAGTTGGGACTTCGCGACTCCCCGGGGGGTCTGCGACGCACGCAATTGTCGACAAGTACTCGCATCCAAAATGGCAGGGGTTCCCATCGCGCGCGGCACTGTCCCGTCACGCAGCGCTCGGCACTGTCGTATCGCAGCTCGCAGGGGACCGCTGCTCCACGCAGCGCATGGCGCTGTTCTTTTGTCCGCGTGGCCTCCCATCCTCAGCTGCCTCTGGGTTGCCATGCCGCCCCGCACGCGGTCCTCGCTCAGCGCGACCCGCTGTTCTGCTATAGAGCGAGCGCATGGCGCGGTTTTCCCGCTTATGTAGCGTTCGGCGCCGTTCTTGTTACTGACCATGTACGTCCCTCCCTCGCACCCCTGTGTTTGCTTCAGCATCAGTCTTTATCTTGCTTGTTATTGCATGCTGTCTGGCATTCTTTTGGGAGCTCGTGCGCATTGCGGGTCCTTCAACATGTTTGTTTGCAGTGAGCGGCCATGTATCTGTATAAATATGTGTTTTATACATATATTCCCAACCAGAGCTTGCACTGCGGGGGTCCTAGCGAAACTGAAAATTATGGCGAAGGTTTCCCGCCGATTTCGGTGGCCGGCTGGGTTCCTGGTTTCCCGGTCCCGGCTTCCCGGGTTCCTGGCTATTGGTTCCGGGCCGATTTCGGTGGGTTCCGGGTCCCCGGGTTAGCGAGTTCCCGGTCGATCTCTTCATCGATCTCTTTATCGACCCCACGGTTCAGTATAGTTTTCATGATCGATCTCACTATTCATCTCATTCAATCGATTTCACCATCGATCTCATCAAACCATCCACTGATTGGGTTTTTTCTTTGGTATGCTATCTATAGACCCGCCATTTGTTCAGAAAGGATGGGTACCTCACCGAGTAATTCTCTTGTTGGGACCAAAAGGCGCGGACCTAATCATTTCCGAAACGCCGAGTTAAAAACAATGAGTAATCGATTTGGGCATTAAGAAAAACCAAGTCTATGGGTGAGCCCTGCGAGTCCCCCCTCGGCTGCTTGATTGCCCGGCCGCGGCCGCCGCACTGTTTTGTCGCCGTTCCCGCGCGCTTGTCCCCGCCGCGTTGCTGCGCGCGTGGCCGCGACGCAAAATTGTGCGCGTGTGCATCCGTAGTTTGGGTCCAGCCGCGCTTCGGAGGAAAACATGCGCGCGCACGCGCACGCGTGTGCGTGTGTTTGTGTGTGAGAGAGAGAGAGAGTGTGTGTGTGTGTGTGTGTGTGCGTGTGCACGTTTTCTGGCCGCTGCATGTTACGCTTGGACGTAGTGTTCCTCTTTCGCACCCATCGCTTGCATGCAAAGGTGAGCCTGGTTGCACGCTGCGCTATCGACAGCGCTCGGTCGCAATTCGCACTTCTATATGCTGCTCGCGCTTGAGGACCGTCTGCGCCGCTGACCTACACTGTTTGTGTGGGTGCGTGTGTGTTTTTGGTGTGCCATCGTGTGTGTGGTCTAGGCTTGATATATGGTGCCATTCTTAGGACGATCGTTCGATCTACCTCATAGCGGAACTGTGCAACGGCGGGGACTTCAGCAAGGTAGGACGCTTTGGCCGCCAGGAGGTGCGGTTGCTCTTCCAGGAGCGGGGGGGGGGAATGGCAGAGATCCGCTCGCAGCATGACTTTGCTCACGCAGCCCCTCTCACGCAGGCAATGCGTCCTCACGATCTCGCGTCCGTCCTCCACGTTCTCATCTCGACGGTGCGCCTGGGGGGAACGTGAAGGGGGGCGGGGCTTTTCAGAAGGCGGCGTGGCTTCTCAGAAGCCCGTTGGGCTTCTGAGAAGCCGTCCGTGTCTTCGGAGAAAGCTTCGACTGCCTCTCAGAAGGCTCGAGGCTTTCCGAGCTTCCTCAGGAGGCCTGCCCCCTCTGCCTTCACCCATGGGCTCGCCGCCGTTCATCTTCCTCCTCGCGTCCATCGTCTTTCCCTCCGTGCGTCGGCACAGCACTGTTGTTTCCTTTTGGCCACAGCGGTGGTACCCAGAGGCACGAACGAACAAACGATGCACACACGTGCATGCCAACCAGCAGGAGCTTCGCTTGCACGATGCACGTAACCAGCCTGAACGGCGCTGGCGTCAGCGCGCAGCAGGGCAGGGCTGTGGGGCACGAGACTGCCTGGTGGTCGCCGCTTGCAGCAGAGGCTGCCGGCAGTGGGCGCAGAGGCTTGGGCAGGCGTTGGGCACGGAGCGGTGCACCTGATTAGATATGAGGGCAATCTTGGAGCCATTGCGTCGCGCGCATTAGTTGTACGGTATCATCTAGTCCACACCTTCGCACCGCAAGATTGGGTCGACGTTCGTGCGGCGATGTTCCGACGTAAGTCTGGCGTGAAGGCGACGTGAATCCCGCGTAATTCCAAGGTGATGGGAACCCGACGCACATCCGGTGCGGATCCGACGTGCATTGGGTCTCAAGTCGCCGCGCGAAGCCTTCAGGCTTTTCCCCATACACAAGATAAGCGGGGCAATGCCCCGGGACAACTCCAGCAGCAGGCGCGCACCGCCCGATTCGCGGAAGGGTCCCGCGCACGCGCGTGCGCGGCTGGATGGGGAAGGATGGAAAAGGGGATGAGGGATGATGATGATGCTGCTGATGATGCTGATGATGCTGATGATGGTGGTGATGGTGGTGATGGTGGTGATGATGATGATGACGCTGATCAGCTGCTGTTGTTGCTATTGGTGATGATGATGGTGGTGGTGGTGGTGGTGGAGATGATGTTGATGATGCTGCTGATGATGATGATGATGTTGATGCTGATGCTGCTGCTGCTGATGATGACGCTGATGCTGATGCTGCTGATGATGATGCTGATGCTGATGACGATGATGACGACGATTATGATGATGTTGATCATGCTGGTGATGATGGTGGTGGTGATGATGGTGACGGTGGTTTTGTTGGTGGTGATGGTGATGGTGATGGTGACGGTGGTGGTGGTGGTGATGGAGGTGATGATGATGCTGTTGATGATGATGGTGATGCTACTGCTGATGATTCAGATGATGATGCTGCTGATGATGCTGATGATGACGATGATGATTGTGATGACGATGATGACGACGACGATGACGATGCTGATTCTGATGATGATGCTGCTGATGATGATGATGATGCTGGTGGTGGTGGTGATGGTGATGGGTTGGACAGTTGCGAGGCCAGATGATCTTACTATGTGTTCTGGGCGGCGGGCGTTGATCGAAGCCGCTCCGAACTGCAACAGGTTAACACTCGAAACAGGGGAGAAGGGAGGGAGGGAGAGACTCGAGTATGGATGTGCGGTCCGATTAGAGCCACAGCTATTATCGGAAAGGCGCACTGTGGACAGTTGCGAGGCCAGACGAGCTTATATAGTGTTCAGGGCGTCAATCGTGGATCGAAGCCGTTGCGAACCGCAACTGGTATCATGGCTAGTCCACGTCACTGGCAACAGCCGCCAACATACACAGCATTGAAGCAACATCTACGGGCACCGCGGGAACCGATTCATTTTGATTGAAATGGGTCGGGTTTCGTGTTCCATAGGAAGCAACCTCGGGGTGGCACCCCCCCAAAGTCAGACACGTTTAATCAACCCAGCGACATACAGCAGTCTACCCACACTTTTCGCCATCCTTTCACAGGCCATCCGAACGTCTTCGAAGGGAAGCGAGACCACGGACATACGAGTCTTCCTGTCGAGCGCGGGGACGCCTCAACGGCCTAAGTGCCTCTTGCGAGACTAGCAACAAAGCGAATCGGTGGGCGAACACACTGCAGATTATTCAGCCCTGGCACGAGCCAGCCAGCGAGGCGAAACCAATTTCTTACCCTACTGGAATACATGCACGAGTCGAAAACAGCTGACGAGATACGACACACCTTGCAGGCCCCATAGGTAGGAAGCGTCAGGGTTGCACAAGATAGCGGGCGCTTTCTGCTGTAGCATTCGGCCATAATGCGGAGGCGTGCAGCGTTTACAACATCTGGGGGAAGCCACGACTCCCCGGACCTCTCCTTGTGCGTACTGACCAAGATTTCGAGGCGAATCCAGCGGTGGCGACGAGGGCCTCCAAGGAGGCCGAACAAAGGGGGACGGGCAAAGGGTAGCAGTATCGCTACCTTTTCCCCTTCTGAGCATTGGCGATAGCCACGGACCTCGCGTCCGTCGACGGTCAACTGGGCAAGCCGCGCGGATGCCTGGAGGATCGGAACTGGGCGGAGCCCGGCGGCGCCACGTGGCCGCGGCGCCGGCGGAAGGGCGGCGGAAGCAAAACGAGGCCGCCTCCGCCGGCGGAGGCAGGCGGAAGCTCGGCGGAAGGCGGCGGAAGCAACAAGTCGCCCCCCCAAGAGGTGAACACGTTTTTGGGTTCAGGGCTGTTCCAAATCGCCCAGGTGGCGCTGGAGGCCAGGAACGGAACCGGTAACAAACGCAGCCCCGTCCCCGCTGGGCCCTCCTGCATGTACTCGACTACACCGAAGAGTGACCCTTCGCCGGAGTGACCTTTGGTGCGGGCTCATCGGGCTCCCCCCGATCGCCGAGCGCGATCGCGCCCTTGGGTTTCGCCCCCTCGCGCCCCCAAAAGCTGCGCACCAAAGGTCACTCATTACCCAGGGTCACTCCCACGTCCAGCCGACGCACCTTCGAGCCTTCGACTCTCGGGCCTCGTGGAGCCGACGTGTTCCCAGCGCCCCGGCGCCGCAGAGCCGTGCCCCTTGGAGCCCGCAGGGCCGCCCTCGGGGGACGGCCGTCGGCGCCCCGCCGCCGCTCCCGCTCCGCTCGCCTGCTCTCCGGCCGCCCCCCCCCCCCTCTCGGCGGCGCCGCCCGAGCCCCGCGGCCCTCGCCGAGCCGCGCCGCGGGCCGCTCGGCGGGCGGCGGGGGTCCGGCTCGGAGGGCGTCGAGCACGCAAGCGGCACCGGCGCGCAGGAGCTGCCTGCGCAGGGTCGCGCGCGGGCGCGCCCTCGCTCTCCCAGTGGTGGCGTGCCGCGCGGGCGGCTCGCGGGGGAGCCTCCGCGGAAGGCTTAAGGGGCGCCGTGTCCTCTCGCGGAGGGCCTGTTTCTTTCCGTCGCCCACGCGGCGAAGTCCGAGGCCTGCCCCCCCCCCCCCAGCCAGGAGGGAGGAGGAGGAGGGGGAGGAGGAGGAGAAGGAGGAGTAGGGGGGGAAGGAGGAGGAGGAGGAGGAGGAGGAGGAGGAGGAGGAGGAGGAGAGGAGAGGAGGGTGGGGGAGGAGAAGGGGAGGAAAGGGGGGGAGGAGATGAGAGGAGGAGGGGGAGGGGGAGGAGGAGGAGGAGGAGGAGGGGGAGGGGGAGGAGGCGCCCATCGGTTCGGGAGGAAGCGATGGCCAGTGGGGGGGCAGGTCTCGGACGTCGCCGCCGGCCCTCGTCGTCCGCAGCCGTCTTGACCTTCCGCTCCAGGCCGCGGCCTGCCTCACAGGCGTGCGCCGCGCCGAGGCGCGGCGCACGCCAGGGGGGCGCGGGCATGGGCCGGGGTCGCGCTGCGGGCTCATGGCGCCGATGCCCGCGGAGGCGGGAGCACCCGGGCTCCCGCCTGCTGCGCCTTCGCTCGCGAGTGCCGTCAGGGAGCACGGGAGCACGAAGCAGTGGCGCGCTGCGCTGGCGCTGTTCCGCGGCGCGTCGAGGTCGGGGGTGCAGGTCGGCGCCTCGCTCTACTACGTCGCCATCGGCGCGTGCGGCAGGAGCGGGCAGTGGCAGCAGGCCCTGTCGCTGCTCAGGGAGCTGTCCCAGGGGAAGCTGGAGCTGGACACGGCCATCTATGTTGTCGGAGTCGATGCTTGTGGGAGAGGCGGTCAGTGGCAGCTGGCTGTGTCGTTACTCAACGAGCTGCGTGAGTCGGACTTGGAGCCAAACGTGGTCAGCTATAGTGTTGGAATCAGCGCGTGCGAGAAATGTGGGCAGTGGCAACACGCACTGTTGCTGCTTAGCGACTCACTGGAGGCAAAGGTCATGGCTGACGCCATCAGCTACAGTGCTGGAATCAGCGCGTGCGCAAAAGGTAGACAATGGCAGCGTGCATTGTTCCTGCTAGGGGAGATGTGTGGGGCGAACTTGAAGCCAAATATGGTGAGCTACAGTTCTGGAATTAGCGCGTGCGAGAGAGCAGGACAGTGGCAGCGCGCATTGTCGTTGCTCTGCGAGACGTGGGTTTTGAAGCTTGAGCCAGACCTGATCAGCTACAATGCTGGAATCAGTGCTTGCGAGAAGGGGGGGGAGTGGCAACGAGCATTGTCGTTGCTCGCCGATTCGCGAGAAGCTAGGTTAGAGCCAGACGTCATTAGCTACAACGCCGGGATCGGCGCGTGTGCGAAAGATGGCCAATGGCAGTACGGGTTGTCTTTGCTTGGCGAATCGAGGATGGCGAAGTTGAATCCAGATGTGATCAGCTACAGCAGCGCAATTAGCGCTTGCGAGAAATCTGGACAGTGGGATCAGGCGCTGTCGTTGCTCAGCGAGCTATGGGAGGCTAGTTTGGAGCCAAATGCTATCAGCTACAGCGCTGGGATCAGCGCTTGTGAGAAAGCAGGGGAGTGGCAGTTTGCATTGTCGCTGCTCGGCGAGATGTGCGTTGTGAAGCTGAAGCCAAA